GCAACGACCGCAAACGTATCCGTGTCCAGCCATTGGTTGGCCACGTAGAGGTCAAAATACGCGGTTCTATTTTTACGCGTTAAGTTTGGCTCTTCTGATTCACCCCCTTAGGAATGTTCTACTTTCGCAGCCTAATCGCAGGTTTTTCAAAAAACGTTGAAAAAACACAAGAATTAGTAAAATTTCCTGTTTTAGGCGGATTATTCATAGAGAATAATTTCTTTATTACAAAAATGCTGAAAAACCCTGAGTTTTTATTTTATTGGCGAAAAAACTGCGAACTCGGCAAATTTGGTTGCACAACTTCCCTTTATCATATACACCCAGCGACACCGATGCCAGCTGACTGTGCTCCCATTATGGATTCACAGTCAGCGAAGTGCTACGTTTTGAATCCAAAGCTAAGTGCTTCAAACCACTCACCAAAGTATGGATTATTGCAATATTGGATTTATCGTGAATGAAGAGAAAGCAGAATGTGTGCGCCACATGCTGCGTGGTTCATCTTGCGTCGCTAAGTTCCAATGAGTTTTTACGTAAAAACACAAACAAACAGCCCTTTTCAGGGCCACCACACACTCCAAACAGAGAATTACCGTAACAAACACACTATTTAAATAAATCAAACGCGTTCGTTTTTGACAAATAAAACTTTATTGTTGACCCCGTTCTTGGCTAAAAATCACCCTGGGCGTTTAACGAGGATGTCCCCAACGTGTAACTTTCGTGAAAACAGGGGGGTGGGTGCTTGCCCAGGGAGGGACGCGTGCCCGGGGTAATACGGTATTCTAAAATACAATGTTTATTGTGACGAGCCTGAATAGTGAACTTGACAATGAGATGTTATCACCATAAAAAGTTTTAGGTTATTCTTCAGTGCCCAGCTTATCGTTTGAAAACTGTTAATTTCTTTATTTAAAAAAAATCTTCCAACCAAAATCAATGCCAAAAGAAATTTGAAATCTCAAAACTGATTTTTTCTGTCATTTTGTATAACACTTTTAATTTTATTTATATGTGTGTTTGGGAATATTATAGGTGTGTGATTAGTAAAAATAATTCCTATTTTAATGAGACATTAAAATCGCATTCTGAAAGCAATCATGTACCGAGTAGCTTATTGAAGTTGCAAGATTTTTGTGAAATATCTGATGGTCTGAATTTGCATGAGTTAAGGGTAATATTATAGAAATTTCAGTGTTTTTTTCAAGATCTTGAAACACTGGTAATCATTTCTGGTGTCATGTGTTTGTATATCCTTTACTATTGCTTTTAGCTTTCCAACACGTGGATTTTTAAAGCAGGCTGCAGTAATTCAAAAGCTTTTTTTTCTAAGCACACAAATTCACATCATCAATAATAGTCATTAGACCTCTGTAAAACTTTATGAACACTTTGAGAGTGTAACCTTTAAATGTTTTTTTAGTTTATGTGAGATGTGCTAGTAATAGAGCTTTAACGATAATCATTATTCACTGGTATGCTTGGCAGACCTCTAACTTTTCTTTGTTTTCACAGGAAATGACACCAATTGCTAGACGTCGCGGTGGCTACTTTCAGAGAATGGAGTCCGCAACACAGAGGTGGAAGCGTCAAGTACAAGAACAGAAAAAGAATGTGTTTGATAGGCATGCTATGCTTAGTTAAATTACCGTCTGGGTGATCAAGCGCCCTCCTGTGGTGAACTGTTTTTTAAATGTGTTTTTGTAAGCGCCCTCTGGGGTTCAACAAATATCTGTGAAAAATAGCAGTATATATGAATGTATTAGGCAACTGTTGCCTAGACGATGTGTAACATTATGTGACAGTATTATTAATGAGGTGTAAATATTCAGACAAAGTTTGTCCCAATGTGTTGAACTAAGTCATTGAAATGCAGTGATAAATAGCAGCTTTATGCCTTGTGACCAGGAGCTGTTACTTGTTTCATGTAATTTATTATGTTTATTGTTCCTAACAAAAGTATCTAACAAAAGATGCTTCTGGGTTAAAGTTCATTTCACATACAAAGGGTGTAATTACATTAATTTCAGTAGTCATCCCATGCTGTGTAAATGTAAAGTTTTCACTATGGTTTCAGTATTTCAGTCATATGTAAAAGTTAAATTGGTGTGACTAAAATTTTAATAGAGAATGGAGAATCCATGATGTTGAAACCCAAAAAAAAATATGTTCACAAAAACAGAATGATCTCAATGAAAAAATAATTCTCTTATAATATTCATATAACATGAGACCAGATATTTATTTTGTCTCTTTTAGAACTGCATCCTTGTAAAATTTCTTTTGACATTTCTGTTTACATCAACAATTTCTCAACAGAAATGTTATTTATGAATTAAGTTATTTAATAGCATTTAAATATAAAAAGAAATTGGTGTTACAAGTGGAAGCATAAACATGTTAATTGACATAAGCTTATGATTGGCTTCATGAAAAAATTCTGAGGTTATTTTGTGACAGTAAACCCAGTGACCAGCAGAGACTTATCACCTACGTATAACTGTTGAAACCAAAGCTTAAAACCTAAGGTCTTTTTAAAATTGTAGTAGAAATATCTTACAAGACATTTATGTGACGCTTCCAATGCAATTGCCTTATTGAATTAAAAGTTGTATTCCCACTTTGCAAATATGTAAAACATCACTTTCTGAACAAGCAAAGAACTGAAAGTATAGATTTCCATGACTCGCTTTTCATTAGACAAACATAACTACAATGTATCTGACCATCAAGGACATCTTGACTCAGTGAGTGTCTGTTTACAAAGCTCACTTAAATCCATATATGCAGTTAATTTGTCCATTATCCAATCACAATACTTGAACGAAGTTTGAAATGGGGACTTATAATTCGGTCTCCATCCGTACATACATTTTGTACTTCAAAGTCATATTTTAGAATCCTCTGGATCGAATCTGTTCATTCTATGCATGTGCCGAGTACTTTGCAGTGGTTTAGTGATTGGATTCAAGATGGCCGCCTGGTTGTCATTTTGGTTTTTGAAAATGTTGTATCTTTGACATGCTGTGTCAGTTTTTGTTCAAATTCAGTACATGTTAGAATTCATGTCCATATCAGTTGTTTCTTAATTAGATCAAACATGACAGACTCGCAGCCATCTTGTTTTTTGTAGTATATTCTCAAACATACATTATATGTTACTCATGTTCATGTTTGATTAATGCTTCATTCTTACATGTATGAAACTGCTACAAAGTTTGTTGGTTTCTTCTCGTAAGTTTCTTTAACAAACAAAAAATATTAATCTTTTCATCACTGAGGATTTTAGAATTTTTGTGCTATATTCTTGTTATATAGTATTTTTTCCCCCAGAGAGAGTCTGTTATATCGGATTTTTCCAGTCATAAAATTGAATGAAAATTCTATGGTTTTACAAATACAGTGTTCTGTTTGTAAATGATGACATGACTTCCAAACACCTTGTTGTGCTGGGGTTTGTGAAAATTCAGAGAAGCTAGTTTGAAATAGCGAGGTTTTGTCTTCCGTTTTGTTTTCAAAGTTTGTTTACTGTTTTGTTCATATCTATGTCTTGGCTCTAACTGTTCCCATGATGCAATATGCAAAACAGCTTTTGTATGAGTTAATGTATGAGAATTGTTTATACCTCTGATATCTAATTAAGATAGCGAGAGGAAAAAATGGAAATAGTGTACATGTAAGTGCATTTGTGTAATTCAGGCATTTTTAAGCATGTAACTATGACAATATATATGTTTTTAGAAAAGCTGGGATATAGACGAACAAGATTGTACATGTATATGTTTGGTGTTAATATAGTGGTTTGTGATGCATCCTCCATAGTGGTTTGTGATGCATCCTCCATAGTGGTTTGTGATGCATTGGCTGCATCCTCCATAGTGGTTTGTGATGCATTAACTGCATCCTCCATAGTGGTTGTGATGCATCGGCTGCATCCTCCATAGTGGTCTGTGATGCATCGGCTGCATCCTCCATAGTGGTTTGTGATGCATTAACTGCATCCTCCATAGTGGTTGTGATGCATCGGCTGCATCCTCCATAGTGGTCTGTGATGCATCGGCTGCATCCTCCATAGTGGTCTGTGATGCATCGGCTGCATCCTCCATAGTGGTCTGTGATGCATTGGCTGCATCCTCCATAGTGGTTTGTGGTGCATTGGCTGTATCATCCATAGTGGTTTGTGATGCATTGGCTGCATCCTCCATAGTGGTTTGTGATGCATTGGCTGTATCATCTATAGTGGTCTGTGATGCATTGGCTGCATCCTCCATAGTGGTTTGTGATGCATCGGCAGCATCCTCCATAGTGGTTTGTGATGCATTGGCTGCATCCTCCATAGTGGTTTGTGATG